TATATATATATATATATATATAAAATTTTATGTTACTTTTTACAATTAGGGTAGAAATTTAAATCTGTTTTTAAAAGACAATGAGCTTGATCTGTTTAAAGGTTAATATTGTGAAACATGATATTGTGTTAGCTAATATTCATATAAACTCAGGAAAAATTCATGTAAACTTTGTAAAATTATATTTAAGAGACAAAGATCAGCTTCAGAAATAAAACAAGCTACCCAAGGTTTGTCTCACTTCACCTGAGTTAAGACTCTGCCTCTTACCGTACTCCTTGTTAAGATAATTTCACACTTAAGTTAATTTAAAGGTATGTTCAAAGGAAAAATTTTTGTTATAAAGATTACTATGGTAAACAGGAGATATAATATTTAACTAAGGTTAAGACTATGAAAATTATGGTTCTTACTTCCTAGTTATTATACAAACTCAATATGTTTTTACTCTAGTTAATTTTATTTTTGTGTTTTCTTTGACAACTTTAAAATGTCATCTGTTAGTGCCTTATAGAAATACATCTTTCAATATAACAACCTAAATTAATTTGAGATAAATAGGCCACCATCTATAGACAGGATGTAAGGCTAACTTCTAGTACTAATACGGACCCCAATTAAATGGTAGGGGTAAATGACTGTAAATTTAAAGACATTAAAGTAAACACCCAGGAATCTTACTTAAGACTGATGAGACTGCCTTCCTGGATGTTTAAGACCAAAGCTTGGAGATTAAATTTTAAAAAGTAAAAGGGCCAAGAAAGAAACATAGCCAATAAATATTTGGTTCTTACCCTCTGAGTCAGCTTGAACCTAGGGAGTAAGAGAACTTCTCTAGAGCTTTGTAACTCTGGGCCACATGACCCCCTGATCAGGGGCATCACTGAGACTCTGGAGAACAAAAAGCTGACCAGTGCAATGCTGCAAAAGAGAAGGGTCATTAGAAAAGGGAGACATCCCTGATGCTTCCAAGAGAAGTCAAATGATCAGGAAGATCCTTGCCCTATCCTGCAGATGGCACTAATAGAGCTAAGAGGCCGCTCACAAGCTTCCAAGAGTGACTCTCTGAGTGGACTCAGCTGACTATTAACAATAGACAGGAACAAGGTCAATTTGACCAGCTTGGTCTTGAACACCTAGAAAAAATTATAACCAAGGTACAGCCATGTGTGGGAATTTAAAACATAAAACAACAGCTATTTTACTAGAACTTAAGATGTATACTTGTGGCAGCCCCCACAGCCCTGGTGCCTCCCAAATTCTGAGGCATTTTTTTCCTTTGTGAGGCTCATATTTACCCCTGCCTATGAAAAATTGGACTGACCTTTGTACCTTTGTCTTCCTTACTCCTCAAATTGACATTTAAACTAACAACCAATAGTTTGCCTACCCTGATAATGGCACACACCAGACACAAGAAAACCCTTCAGTTTATTCCCTTACTCATAGGGCTATAGAAAATCTGCCAAAATTGACACAGGAGCACCGGGATTAGAAACCTTTATTCACTACTACAAAAATTGTAAGTACAGGTTATTTAAGATATCCAACAGGTTGTTGAATTGGTAATAAATTTACAAAATCAATTATATTCCCTGCATCTATCATCCTGTAGAATCATCAGGGCCTAGATTTCTCTACTACCAAATGAGATTGTCTCTGCTTCTTCCTCTGGAAGAATGTTGCTTCTGTGTCAATCATTCAGGATCGATAAGGGATAAGGTTAGATAACAACAGAGCAGATTGGAACAATGGAGGCAAGAACTACCTGATTCCTAAAACGGTGGACTTCCTGGCTTCTCCCTCTTTTAACTACTGCAATACTCACTGTTCTTGTAATAAACTTTTCCCCTGATTTTAAAACTTTATACAGAAGCAACTTCTGGACAAAGTGACTTGTCTAACCGAGACCACCTCCCACGAACATGCAAAAGTCATTCTCTTTCACTCACTGACACTCCTGAGCCCCATGAGGAAGGAATCACCAACAAATATGTGTAAGTTCCCTCCTTCTACTCACCCCACCTCAATCCACAATCACCAGGACAATGTAGGAGACTAAAATACCCCCCACCTCCTTATCCTCTTCCAGATATCTGACATGGGATCCCCTACTGCGCCCTTTCCAGCAAGAAGTAACCAGATATGAGGACATTGCACCCCAACTCATTATCCCCTTTCAGAGTCTGGGAATGAAGGATAAGTTTGCCTACCTGTCCTCCCGCCCCAACCTAAACCCCTGTCATGACATGGCCCCTCCCACCAAAAGGGCCTGCCAAAACTAACTCCTCTCATGACATGGTTTGTCTAAATCCTATAAAACCCAGTCCCTCCTGATGATGGGTCACCACTTTTACCCTGAAGATGTGCCCCTCTGGTGCTGAATAAAACATCAGTCTCGCCAGTTTCCTTTTTATTTTTGTATTGACTTTCATGTGCTTTCAGACAAAGGGTAAAATTATAGGGTTCACCAGGTGTATGCTACACAGCAAGATCTCCAGGCATGAGGCAACCATCAGCAAGGAGAAGAGCGTCACATTCCAGGGCACCACATTGGGTGGCTTTTCACACAAGTTCCAGTACTCATGGTTGCTCAAGTAAGCCCCTCTGTGGACAGGAAGGGTCAAGTGAGAAGAGTTAATGCGGTGCCCTACTCCACCCTCAGTCCCCTGCACAGGCAGAACGGGATTTTCAAAGAGTTAGTTAGACCCATGTGAAGGAACGTGGCACCCAGTTTCCCCGCCCTACGTGGGAAGGGCATGAGAACACCAAGATGCAGAGAATGGGGGTCATGAATCCAGGCTAAGCCTTACGAGCTTTCTTGTAAGTGGTAGGCCCACTTGGCATTCTTTGAGCACTTGGGTCCCATTCGGAGTCCAGCTGCTGAGACGAAGAGGCAGTAGATGGCACCAAGCATTCCCAAGGCCGAGAAGGAGAAGGAACGCAGAATCTGGACCGGGTGTGCAAGGTGGGCTGAATAGTGCTGCCCCCTCCCCACTCATGGCCCCACCACGCCTAGTTCTGTCCCCCCACCTGACCAAGCTCCTCTGGAGCCAGGTTAAATAGAGATTCCGGGGCCTGGGGAAGCCGTCCCGAAACAGTGCACTGTGGGGAGCCATTCTCACACGTGACTGGGCAACTCCCGGTTTGGGTCTGAGGCGCTCTGGCTAAACTCTGTCAGAGCTTTCCCGACCTTCTCCTGGTGCGAGAGCCTGTCCTTGTGGGGGTGTGACTGACTACTGACCCCGGGGGCCAATCACTGACCCTGACCTTGGAGTGCTGCCCCCCTCAACCGTCATTGGATGGAATTCTCCCCTGAATTTCTTGTTCCCCAATAAAAGGCCACTCCCTGGTATGCTCCCTCTCTCTCTCTCCTGCTAGCCCTGAGTAATCCTTGCTGCCCTACCAGGTGTTTCGAGGTGGGAGCCAGAGGGGGAGCCGTCTGCGACCTGGTCATAGAAAAAGGTAACTGAGTCTGTGTGTTTATTTCAATCTCACTAGCTAACTTTTATGCCAAGAACCTCTTTAATGAAACCAGTGCGCTGGTCGTATGGTGGAATTGCACTTGAAAATACATTTTCCTATATCTCCGTGGCTTGGAGTTAAGCAAAACTAAGGGCCAGTAGAGACTCGTGGTGGTTAGGGATTCTGTAGAGTCTGCTGTGGCTCTGGGAGAGACTAGTTTAGAGACCAAATCCTCAATCTCTTGCTTTCTTTTCTGTGGGGTGGAGGCTCACTGGGGATTTAACCCAGGATGGGATCCACAGCCCTTTTGATTTCTTATTAATGAGAGAGGATCCCCTAAATTGCTGAGGCTGTCCTTGAACTTGAGAAGCTCCTGCTTCAACCTCCTGAGTGACTGGGATCACAGGGGTATGTACCATGCCCTGCCGAATCTCTTTTCAATTTGGTTCTCACCCATTTGGGATGTCCACCTGCCGCCAGAACCACAGTGATTCCCGGACACAGAACCTGTGAGACAAGATTCATTGTAATACTGTGAACCCAGCACCAAACCCAGATCCTCAAAGTCTCCACCTCCTCTGGAAGTTGCCTATGATGTCCTCAGCCCTTTAGACTATATGAAGAAGACCTTACCTCTACCTCTCCTGGAGCATGGCTGGGCCCTACCTTACTTTATCATTATTTATGTGCCTACCTTATCTCTGTCCATATTTTAGCTTCCTTGAGGATTGGGTTCAATATTAAACATTCCCCATAAACCTTGGCACATGGTAGGTTCCTTTCTGATTGGGAATCAGGAGGCCTGGTTGAAGGTCAGGACCACACTACTTCACTCAATGAACTAATTGGTTTCTCTGGGTCTCAGTTTGTCCTAGGTAAAATTGGTTTGTAAAACCTACCTCATACAGTTGTTCTTAGGATTTAATGGAAACTGGTGGGCATGGTATCAAGTCTGCTTCAGAGTAAATGCTCCTTAACTATAAATGCTTTCAGCAGTGGGAAGAGGTAGAGGTGTTGGAAGGTCTGGTGATCTAGGATATGCTCGAGTATGCTCACAAATGCTGTGATGTGGGTTGTGGGATTTCCTAAGATCCAGCCCCTGAACTTTTTTTTCCTGTGACTTTTCCCACAGAAAGATCACTCCTGCCAGGGAATCAGCTATTCCCCTGCCAACTGTTACCTGTACATGCCTAGAGAACCAAATCTAACTGCCCAAAGGATGTGTTCACTCAAATGTCTTGGTTATAGCTCAGATTCAGCCTGTATAAGAGGTGACCTCATAATATTTTCCAAATTCATCTCCCTTTGATTTCCTCATCCTTTTAATTGAAAAATATAATCCACGAGGTCACCTAGGCTGGAAAACTTAAACCCTTTTGCACCTTGCCAAACTCAAGTCTTCTTGACTTTTGCTTCAATGGCTCCTGAATCTATCAGTCCTTTCTCCTTCTTCTCTCATTCAATTCCTAATCACGTTCCATGAGGAAGATGTTCTTAGCCTCCCTACTCAGTCCCCTTAGCTCTTGCTCATGGCACCCCACAGTTCATCATACATGCCCCACCAGATTAACCTTGGTGTTGCCAAAGTGGGATAGGGCACACCTGTGAGCCCAGAGATCCAGGAGATTGGGGCAGGAGGATGCAAGTTCAAGAGCAACCATGGCAACACAAGGAGACCTTATCTCAAAATAAAAAATAAAGGGCTGGGATTGTAGCTCAGTGGGAAAATGTTGCTGGGTTCAATTGTTGGTGGGGGTGGGGGCAGGAAGGATTTTCTTTTTCTTTTTTGTATTGTTTTGGTACTGGGTACCAAAGAACCCAAGAGCACTTAACCACTGAGCCACATTCACAGCGCTTTTTTTTTTTTAGAGAGAGAGAGTGAATTTTTTTTAATATTTATTTTTTAGTTATGGGCGGACACAACATCTTTGTATGTGGTGCTGAGGATCGAACCCGGGCCGCACGCATGCCAGGTGAGCGCGCAACCGCTTAAGCCACACCCCCAGCCCCACAGCTCTTTTTTGTATTTGTATTTAGACACAGGGTCTCAATGAGTTGCTTATGGCCTTCTTAAGTTGCTGAGGCTGGGTTTGAACTTGTGATCCTCCTGTCACAGTCTCCTGAGCCACTAGGAATACAGGTATGTGCCACACAGTCTACTGTGAGGAGAGTTTCTTAATCCTTTGAGGCTCCTCACTCTGCCTCCACCCCTGTCTTTGTCTTCATAGCCCAGGCCAGGTTCTTTGTTCATCTCCCATCCCTGGAATTCCACAGCTGTTTTGATCCTTCCCTCCCTGTTGGTCTTGTCTGGCATACACCATACAAGGCAGCATTTTGTTCTTTTCCAGGGAAGGGGCTGCGAGTTTTAGTTCTGTTATATCATCCCCAGCAACCTCAGAGAAGCACCTGATGAGTGGAACCAAATTTCCACCAGCACTCTTGCTTTCCTCCTCCTGTGTCAGGGCAGTTTCAGGGCCAATGCTGACCCCACTGTTTACCTTCTCTGGTGAGGTCACTTACTGGGAGGATTCAGGATCCACAGATACCTAGAATAGCCTTCTGGATTTACTAGTGTATGTGTGTATTGTGTTGGTGAAGGTCTAATCCAGGATCTTGCCATGCTAGGAAAGTGCTCTACAACTGAGTTACACACCCACACCACATTTACAAATTTCAAATCACCCACCTCCTTGAGAATTTTACTTTTGGTCAAAGTATTTGTTTCCTTTTGTATAGTCAGCTTCCCTGTCCTCTTTCCTGCCATCTAACTATCTTCCTGAAAAGAGAAGAGTCACCATAAATTCAGAAGGCAACACTGTTTATAGCTCAAATCTCCTCACTTTTCTCCATCACCATGGCCACTGGGCTATTTGAAGGTACTGTCTTCCCTCCATGATATTAATCTCATCTCTGTGCATCTATGGCTGGCAAGGTCTGACTATCCATTCTCCACACAAGAACCAGAGGGATCTCTTCAATCCACTGAGGTTTGAAACAACTAGAACTCTCACACTGTGCTGATAGGAATGAATTGATTAAAAAAAAAAAAAAAACAACTCCAGAATAGAGGGAAACTCTGCTGGGTAGATCTCTCAACTTTGCCCCCCACAAATATTATACTAGGTTAACCATCTAAAACTTCCCCTAAACGGGGAAAGAGAAGAGGAGGAGATACAAGAAATCTGTGTCCCGTCTTGCTCCACTTCTTCCAGCAGATCCTCATCTCCAGGAAGCCTTGGGGGCAACTTCTCTGCCTGACTGACCTGTTTCTGAGTTTGTTCTTAGCACCCAGCACAGAGTGGGCATCCACAATGTGGGCTGAGAGTGAGTGGAAGAGGAGGAGGGAGGGGCAGCACT